CAAATGTGGGAACATACACGAGACAGAAAAGGAAATAAACCTTACACTGCTATTCCCACGAATCCCTTCAGTGGAACTACTCCCCAGATGATTCCCAAAATAACTGCAATGATCTGCCGGAACCAGTAGATCACATCTAAAAACTCGTCCTGAGGAGACAAAGCACAAGAAAAATGTTGGCATTTATTACATTGTGTTTTTTTTCAAAGCACCACACAATTAACAGGTGAAAATTCAGCATACTGAACACTTAGTTCCCCACTCAGAGTACAAAATATTGCACTCAGAACAGATAAAGCAGCCTTGGCCACTGTGCACCCTGGACTCCTCTGCTTCCACATTAAACACACAGCTTGTCCTCCGATGGGCCAACAAGTCTCTAGTCCTCTTATTTACTAAAGGTGCAACAACAATCCCCTGGAATAAAAGTTTAAAGAACTGTTTATGCTTTGAGACTATTCTACCCACGCTGGCCCAGGCCCTCCTGCACCCAAGAGCTTTCAGGGCTCAGGGCAGCTCCAAAGCACAGCTGTACCTCACTTGTGCCACGAGAACTCCAGAGCTTCCCGAGCAGCAGGGCTGTGCTCATTCCTCTGTCCAAGGGCCACGCTCCAGCAGCTACTGCAGCCTGGCACTGCTGGCTCACACTTTAGCAAGATTCACTTCAGCTCACATCTCTTTTTCCCAGCCTCCCCAGGACTGGGATTGTCCCAGCATCCCCTCAAACTCCAAAGTCTTTGTGATCCCCCATAGCCTGTGGGATGTGCCAGCTGTTCAGCTCCACGTGGAAGACGTGAATCTGTGTCAGATACAGAAATTTCTTCTGGTCACTGCACTTGTCAGGCAGCTCAGCCTTCAATTCACCTCCTACTGTATCAAAACATTGGCACAGCTGTCCCTGCTCCCCTGTTGACTGAAATTCCAGCTCCATCTGCCACAGGCGAGGGGGCAGGGACACATGAGCCCCACCAGTTCGGGGAGCCACAGGTAAGGAAAAAGCGACACAGGTTGTTGTCTGTCCCCACCGAAACAGAGCGGGTCCCTCCCCACGCCTTCCCTTCTCCGCAGGAGCAGGGCCCGGAACAGGCGCCGTGTGCCCGGGCATGGCGGGGCTCCAGCGGCGGCTCCGGGCGGTGCTGCTGGGAGCGCAGGGGCCCCGCAGCACCTGGCACACGGGCACGGGCAACCTGGGAGAGCTGCTTCTGCTGCTCCTTCAACCACACAAGGGAAATTTCCATTTAATCCGAGAAGAGAGCTAAACCACAAACCAACAGTAACGGAGGTGTCTGCACAGCGCGTTCCCCTGGGCTCCACGGCCAAAGAGCAAAGAGCCGGGCCATGTGCCGGCCACGGGCACCGGGAACACGGCTCCGCTCCACCACAGGCCTCACGGCACAGGCACCCCCGGCTCCCGGGGCTGCGGGCACGGCCCGGCCCGGCCCTCCCGGTCCCGCCGCCCCGCTCCCACCTTATCGTGCCAGGCGGAGTCGCTGCGCAGCGCTTTGCCCCACACGGAGCCGCGCCCGGCCGCGCCGCCGTTGGCCACCGCGTGGTGCTGCGGGTGCGGCGGCTCGTCCCGGCGCCGCCC